CTTTATGATGGCGGCTGAGCGCGCATCGACATTAGCGTGCATCTGTGCCCTACCAGACTGGCACCCGTGTGGGGTAAGTGCTGCACGCTGACCATATGGCGGACCCCACCCCCCTTCTCCCCTAGGTTGGTGAAGCTTACCTTGGTCGGCTTCGGCACTTTCATCAAGTCACAGAGGTGGTTCCGCTTCTCTCTCACACTCGCCAGATCAGCATCCCTGCGGGGGAACCAGACACAACATCAGCACCCAGCTGTACAGAAGCTGGGAGAGAATATATAAAGCATCATAGAGGGGCAGATGGGGAAATGTCCATCCAGACCTCCCATTTCCTACACATACAGGTGAGCTCCTTTCTCTGCTGGAAGTGCCGCTGATCCAACTGTATGGAGGAGATAGAGCCAACAGGAGGGCACAGTACAGGGGGGGCAGAGGGGCACAGTACAGGGAGGAGGTAGAAGGGCACAGTACGGGGGGGGGAGGCAGAGGGGCACAGTACAGGGGGGGGAGGCAGAGGGGCACAGTACAGGGAGGAGGCAGAGGGGCACAGTACGGGGGGGAGGCAGAGGGGCACAGTACAGGGGGGGGGAGGCAGAGGGGCACAGTAAAATGGAGGGGGATCAGGAGGGCACAGTACAATGGAGCGGAGGGTTGGTAGGGTATCAGGAGGGCGCAGTACAGGGAGGAGGCAGAAGGGCACAGTATAGGGGGGGGCGGTTGATCAGAATGGCACAGTACAGGGGGAGGCAGAAGGGCACAGTACAATGGAGGGGGATCAGGAGGGCACAGTACAGGGGGTTTGATCAGGAGGGCACAGTACAGGGGGTTTGATCAGGAGGGCACAGTACAGGGGGTTTGATCAGGAGGGCACAGTACAGGGGGTTTGATCAGGAGGGCACAGAACAGGGGGTTTGATCAGAAGGGCACAGTACAGGGGGGGGGGGGTTTGATCAGGAGGGCACAGTACAGATTCCAGGATGCTGCCCAGGACATGGCCATCCCAGGACAGCTTAATTAGAAGCATGACTGTCCCAGCAAATCCAGGACGGTTGCCAAGTATGATGTAATGCAAAATTATCATGGAACCCCCAAAGCACCTGGGGCCCCTGGGCAGTGCCCATTCATTAGGTCAGCCCTGGTGTCTTGCCCATCTTAGATCCCGGTGGCCCAGGCTGACCTCTGTTATATCTCAATGCTAGAAGTCGGCTTCATTAGACCGGGCCGAGTTCTGGGCAGCTTTGTGACTCCTCCCTCCCATGTGCACCTCTATTATAAATCGATGAGCTGTATTCTTTTTCTCTTTCTTTGATGTGAAAAGTACAAGAATCTCCTCCAACCAACCAGGATTCCAGAATTCAAAGCCATCAGATCAGCTGATAATTTCCCTTCCTCCACACACAGCTCCTATTAAAGAGATGCCAGGGTCCCCGGAAGGTCTCATCTGCTGGTCAGGTGACTGGTAGGAATAGTTCTCTGGCCGAGCCGTATTTGGGGGATCTGGGGGGGATGAGATTGATGGTGTGTGATGTTATCCACAGGAGTCATTGTCAGACTGACACACCGGCTGCTCAGTGGCTGTTATTTTCATTCCCCGAGCCGCAGGCTTCAAAGGGCCTCTAGAATTCCAACACGTTTTTAATAACCTCCCCGAAATCCTTCAATCGCACTTTCCAGAAGCGCTAAATTCCTCCGGGCAATGCTCTTATCCAAGGAAAATCTCCGGGATTACAGGAGACCGCACTGTGTTTATACGAACGGTGCAAGTTCACGCCAGATGAACCTGAAACTACCAAACCCATCCAACGTCTGCACCCCACCCCCGACTCTGGATCAACGCAAACACTTCATGGGTTCCAGCCCCTGCTCACAACTCGCTATTAAAGGGGCTTATTATATGAGGTAGGTCACCGATTGGTGAGCATGGACCCTGATCTATTGATCTGATATCTGATCAGCTGCTGAAGGTACCGCAGGCTGTACATCCTCCTCTCCGTCTGTCTGCTGGGACCATAATGAACATTGTACCGGAATGGACGCAGCAGATGGACTCAAGGCTCCGGAATACAATATTCCAGGGTAGGCAACCCCCGGCGCTCCAGCTGTGGTGAAACTACAAATCCAATCCTACCTCTGGGAGTCATGGTTGTTAGTCTTGCAATGCCTTCTGGCACCTGTAGTTCAGAAGCTGGAGTGTCAAGGTCACCTACCCCTGAAATATTGTCTCTACAATTTACTGGACAACCCACTGAGAATACTGACTGACATCAGGGCAACTGATATGAGATTTGTTCCAAAAGTTCCTTTATTACAGTAGAACTACAGCAAATAAACTCGCCATGCACAAAGGATTAGATGCTCTGTCAGGTCTTTACTGCTCTGTGACCCCCACCGGGGAGTTCTCTTCTCACCTCATATGGGGTCACTAAGACAGGAAATGAAGGAATCCTTTCAAAGAGTACCAATACCTTCATACTGGGAGCACGCAGCACTGCGATCCGGTGCCCGCTGTGTCCTCCAGACACAGTGAAACACCAATCGTTGGACGGGACCTCTGTACGAGGTCCCGATCTTGTGATCACTGATTGGCCAATCAGTGATCACATGCAAAGTAATAAGCAAGATGTCACTTGTGACATCATTGCTTACTACGTGTGAAATCTGTGAATGATCACAGAGGTCACATGGCACAAGGCTATTCACAACAGTATTGAGTTCCGGTACTCACCAGGTGGTCTCACTCAGAACTTCCAGAACTTCATCCAGAATTTCGGGTTCCACAATGTCGTCATATGTGATAAACATTTCGTACATCTCGCTGGATGTGGATTTTCTCACCTGCAGAGGGGAAATGACAGCTAATTAAATAGTAAGAAACCAGCCATCAGCACGGGACCCGACCTGCCGGTACATTGGACTGACACAGAGACTTACCGAAGATCGAACGCGTGTAATAGGGAGAACGAGGCTCGGCACAGCCAATGAGACAAGGCGATGGAGTCTGTCATAAACTGGTGGCAGCGCTCATATAAAATGGCTCTACAAAGTTCTGTGTGATGTGGGAATGGCTAACAACTATATAGAGGAAGCATCAGATGGAAGCTGCTGAGAAGCAATGGCAGCCTCCTGCAGAAGTGCCCTTAGGCAGCCCCCTGATGAAGTGCCCTTAGGCAGCCCCCTGATGAAGTGCCCTTAGGCAGCCCCCTGATGAAGTGCCCTTAGGCAATCTTCTGATGAAGTGCCCTTAGGCAGTCTCCTGATGAAGTGCCCTTAGGCAGTCTCCTGATGAAGTGCCCTTAGGCAGGCTCCTGATGAAGTGCCCTTAGGCAGTCTCCTGATGAAGTGCCCTTAGGCAGGCTCCTGATGAAGTGCCCTTAGGCAGGCTCCTGATGAAGTGCCCTTAGGCAGCCTCCTGATGAAGTGCCCTTAGGCAGCCTCCTGATGAAGTGCCCTTAGGCAGCCTCCTGATGAAGTGCCCTTAGGCAGCCTCCTGATGAAGTGCCCTTAGGCAGCCTCCTGATGAAGTGCCCTTAGGCAGCCTCCTGATGAAGTGCCCTTAGGCAGCCCCTATTGTTATCCTTCCTGTGAGTGCATATTGTCATTTAAAAACCACCGAGGGGCGCCCGACTAAGTGCAGTATGGGACAATTCCATTTATTAAAGTGTAGCAAACTGGACACTCGCTATTGAGCAGATAGAATGTGCATATAAAAACATCTCAGGAGGTTCCCCAGGGGGATCCGGCTGATATTCCAAGGCCGCTGTAGTCTGCTTCTTTAGTGCCTATCTCCCCCCCCCCCATTTTTAATAAATCTACACTTAGACGGTTGCGCCCTCGGTTTTCTCCTCATGGCCCGACCCTACGGTGAAGAGCGGGTACGTTTCACTTTTTTACCAGCCTCATCTTGTCATCATCTCCATGAAGGTTGTTACAATCTATTTATGAAATATTTCTAGATGTGATTATTGTCTGCCGACTCGTTCGGGTTCCGGAATCGTCTTCTTTCCACCCACATACACAACAAAGCACACAGGCTGAGATGTACCCGACACTGTCACACCTACCACAGGGAACGAGTGACACAGCAGGAGCAGCAGCTGGACTAACACTTCCTTCCTGATCTCCCCGGGAAATTGGATCATGCCGCAGAACCTACAAGATAAAGAGCATAGCAGATGTGGAAATGGTACAGGCAGTGAGAGAGACCTGCTGAAAACTGCATCAGCCACACAACAATGCTAACACATTACATGGGAACTTAGAAATGAACTGGCTGAAGTACTGGCTGAAGTACTGGCCCACACAGCTCCACCTAGAATTGAAATTCTTAATGTTGAAGTCCAATCAAATCCGAACTAAACCTGAATCTGCCCCCAACCCCCATTCTGAGCCGATTCTAATGACCCCGAAAAAGAAAGATCTGCATCTACTTCCCTATTCTGAGGCCCTTCTGGTCCGGTCACATGATGGGGTCCCAGTACTGGCTTCAGCTTAGAGGAGGGACAGCCGACAACAAATGCCCCATAGTAAGCCTACGGGTGACTACATCGCCGTTGTCGCTGCCTCTCCTCTACACCGAAGCCACCGCTGGGAAGATCATGTGACCGGACCAGAGCGCCCTCAGAACACGGAGGTGTAGTTAGGATGTAACTGAATGTCTAAATGAATCCGGTCACAGATGAATCGCGTGGGGAGAGAACCCGACCTCCCCGTCCTGTGCTAGGACATGAGTGGCCAATAGCCCGGCCTGAACACTGTCACATGGTGGGGGGGTCCAGCATGGAACAACATGGCTAGGCTCAGTGCTCCATAAGATGACTGGAGTGTTGGGGGGAGTGCAGGGAAGGTGTCAGTGGGAAAGGGGGGGCTTTCAAGAGAACCTGTCACAGATCCACTTTAATGACAGCCCACTAAGTAACCGGACTTTCCTGATGTATTTCCTAATGGTGAAGCCAGCCGGGACATGAAGGGAATGTGACAACGGTCAGTGTAGATCCACCAACTCACACAGCGATGCTGGAGCGCAGCTTCTGGATGTTCTTCGATTTTTTAATCTCCATTTTACACAACGACAGCAAATCCCGAGCAAACTGGTGACTGTAGAAAGACAATGGTCAGGTCAGCAGAGGGAAAATCATCAGAGGAAAGACACAATCCCTGACAAAGGATCCCCCTAGATGTACTACAAGTCCCAGCACCCCTGACCGCCATGCATCAGACTCTGTCAGCTGGACTACAAGTCCCAGCACCCCTAACCCCTTCCATCAGTCTGCCAGCTGAACTACAAGACCCAGCACCACTATTCCCATGCATCAGATCCTGCAAGCTGAAATACAAGTCCCAAAACCCCTAATCTCATGCATCAGATTCTGCCAGGTGAACTACAAGTCCCAGCACCTCTAATCCCAGCCATCGGATCCTGCCAGCTGTACTACAAGTCCCAGCACCTCTAATCCCAGCCATCGGATCCTGCCAGCTGTACTACAAGTCCCATCACCCCTAATCCCAGCCATCAGACCCTGCAAGCTGAACTGCAAGTCCCAGCAGCTCTAATCCCAGCCATCAGACCCATGCAACCTGAACTACAAGTCCCAGCACCTCTAATCCCAGCCATCGGATCCTGCCAGGTGAACTACAAGTCCCAGCACCACCAATCCCAGCCATCAGATCCTGTCAGGTGAACTACAAGTCCCAGCACCCCGAATCCCATCCATCAGACCCTGCAAGCTGAACTACAAGTCCCAGCACCTCTAATCCCAGCCATCGGATCCTGCCAGGTGAACTACAAGTCCCAGCACCACCAATCCCAGCCATCAGATCCTGTCAGGTGAACTACAAGTCCCAGCACCCCCCGAATCCCATCCATCAGACCCTGCAAGCTGAACTACAAGTCCCAGCACTACCAATCCCAGCCATCAGATCCTGCCAGGTGAACTACAAGTCCCAGCACCCCTAATCCCAGCCATCGGATCTTGCCACCTGTACTACAAGTCCAAGCACCCCTGATCCCAGGCATATAATCCCACCACCTGTACTACAAGTCCCAGCACCCCTAATCCCAGGCATATAATCCCACCACCTGTACTACAAGTCCCAGCACCCCTAATCCCAGGCATATAATCCCACCAGCTGTACTACAAGTCCCAGCACCCCTAATCCCAGGCATATAATCCCACCAGCTGTACTACAAGTCCCAGCACCCCTATTCCCAGGCATATAATCCCACCAGCTGTACTACAAGTCCCAGCACCCCTGATCCCAGGCATATAATCCCACCAGCTGTACTACAAGTCCCAGCACCCCTAATCCCAGGCATATAATCCCACCAGCTGTACTACAAGTCTCAGCATGTTCAGCCAAGGCCTGGTCTGGGTCTGTCTTGCTGGGCCCCCATCGCTGTACCACGTCTCCCTACGAATCCCGAACCAACAATCATCAAGGTAGCCGGATAGGATGGCAGCCTCGCAGCTCGCACAAGATGGCCGCCACGTGTGTTGATGCAGCTGCAGGTTGCGGAGACGCTTGGCAGGGCTCCACCCTCAACCACAACAACCGGAATAGAACGGCTCTGTACTGCCGGCTGTTATTCTTCCTCGCTGCCCATCAGCTGCCAGGAAATAGTTCCTTCTCTTGTTTTTCTCATTATTGAATTTAAACTTCGGGGTAATCATCTCCAGGTGGGCCTCATTAGGTAATACCAGATGACATCGGGGAGGAGGGGGCCCCCGCTCTGTAGGTAGTGGTGGTGTGCCGGGGAGGAGGGGGGCCCCGCTCTGTAGGTAGTGGTGGTGTGCCGGGGAGGAGGGGGGCCCCGCTCTGTAGGTAGCGGTGGTGTGCCGGGGAGGAGGGGGCCCCCGCTCTGTAGGTAGCGGTGGTGTGCCGGGGAGGAGGGGGGCCCCGCTCTGTAGGTAGCGGTGGTCGTGTGGTGGTGTGCCGGGGAGGAGGGGGGCCCCTGCTCTGTAGGTAAAGGTGGTGTGCCGGGGAGGAGGGGGGCCCCGCTCTGTAGGTAAAGGTGGTGTGCCGGGGAGGAGGGGGGCCCCGCTCTGTAGGTAGTGGTGGTGTGCCGGGGAGGAGGGGGCCCCTGCTCTGTAGGTAGTGGTGGTGTTCCGGGGAGGAGGGGGGCCCCTGCTCTGTAGGTAGTGGTGGTGTTCGGGGGAGGAGGGGGGCCCCTGCTCTGTAGGTAGTGGTGGTGTTCCGGGGAGGAGGGGGGCCCCTGCTCTGTAGGTAAAGGTGGTGTGCCAGGAAGGAGGGGGGCCCCCGCTCTGTAGGTAGCGGTGGTGTGCCGGGGAGGAGGGGGGGCCCGCTCTGTAGGTAGCGGTGGTGTGCCGGGGAGGAGGGGGGCCCCGCTCTGTAGGTAGCGGTGGTGTGCCGGGGAGGAGGGGGGCCCCTGCTCTGTAGGTAGCGGTGGTGTGCCGGGTAGGAGGGGGGGCCCCTGCTCTGTAGGTAAAGGTGGTGGTGTGCCGGGTAGGAAGGGGGGCCCCTGCTCTGTAGGTAGCGGTGGTGTGCCGGGAAGGAGGGGGGCCCCTGCTCTGTAGGTAGCGGTGGTGTGCCGGGGAGGAGGGGGGCCCCTGCTCTGTAGGTAGCGGTGGTGTGCCGGGTAGGAGGGGGGCCCCTGCTCTGTAGGTAAAGGTGGTGTGCCGGGTAGGAGGGGGGCCCCTGCTCTGTAGGTAAAGGTGGTGTGCCGGGTAGGAGGGGGGCCCCTGCTCTGTAGGTAAAGGTGGTGTGCCGGGGAGGAGGGGGCCCTGCTCTGTAGGTAAAGGTGGTGTGCCAGGAAGGAGGGGGGCCCCTGCTCTGTAGGGTAGTGGTGGTGTGCCGGGGAGGAAGGGGGGCCCCCGCTCTGTAGGTAGTGGTGGTGTGCCGGGGAGGAAGGGGGCCCCCGCTCTGTAGGTAGTGGTGGTGTGCCGGGGAGGAGGGGGGCCCCCGCTCTGTAGATAGTGGTGTGTTGGGGAGGGGGGGAGGCCCCCGCTCTGTAGGTAGTGGTGGTGTGCCAGGGAGGAAGGGGGCCCCCGCTCTGTAGGTAGTGGTGGTGTGCCGGGGAGGAGGGGGGCCCCCGCTCTGTAGATAGTGGTGTGTTGGGGAGGAGGGAGGCCCCCGCTCTGTAGGTAGTGGTGTGTGTGTTGGGGAGAAGGGGGGGGCCCCTGCTCTGTAGGTAGTGGTGGTGTGTTGGGGAGAAGGGGGGGGCCCTGCTCTGTAGGTAGTGGTGGTGTGTTGGGGAGAAGGGGGGGGGGCCCTGCTCTGTAGGTAGTGGTGGTGTGAAATGTATGGGGTGCTAGAATGGGGGCAGCTGCAGGCCGGGGAGCTGACACTCAGCACCGGCTCCTTATCAGAGCTTGTAGCAGATGTAATAGGATTTGGGGATGAAGATGGCACCTTGGCGAGGGGACTGCTGGGTTCCAGGACTGCGGTGTCACGGCGGGGTGAAAGCGCAGATCCTAATCAGATCTGACAACATGGATTCAGACACACAGAAGTGAGACAAAGAGGCCACTCGATTGGGAACATCTGGAAGCCATTGGATAAATGTAACCAGATGAGGAGCGGATTAGGCCAGGCACAGGATCGCTCCCCAACCTGCCAACTCCACATCAGGAGGAACACAGGAACCCGGCCCTCAGCAGGAGGAAAAGTCTGCTACGAAGTGCTGTCTGGGGAGACCCCACAATATGAAATCTCCCTGCTAATAAAAGGTGACGACGCAGCACCAATATTGTCGCCGGGACCTCTGGCAGGTAACCGGGATGATGCCGGCTACTACACATTTGCAGGGACAGAGGTGACAGATGAAAAGCTTCCGAGAACATGGGACTGACTGAGCGCCGCTGAGATCTCACAACCACCAATCAAATTCAAGCTTGCATGAGAGCCAAAGAATAAACGGTGTCATCTGATTGGTTCCGATTTAATCTCTAACCCATCATATTACATTGGGTGGACCTTGTTAATTATTATATTTGACATCGGGGGTTAATTTACTAATCACAGATGTACTGTCCAAGAGCAGAGGCTCCAGAGCTTAGTAAATGAGGGGAGTCTGCTGACTAATTATGTGCAAGCAAAAATTATGTTTTTTATTTTCCTTGCATGTGATTGGGTATTCTTTTCCTTGCACGTGATTGGGTATTCTTTTCCTTGCACGTGATTGGGTATTCTTTTCCTTGCACGTGATTGGGTATTCTTTTCCTTGCATCTGATTGGGTATTATTTTCCTTGCACGTGATTGGGTATTCTTTTCCTTGCACCTGATTGGGTATTCTTTTCCTTGCACCTGATTGGGTATTCTTTTCCTTGCACGTGATTGGGTATTCTTTTCCTTGCACGTGATTGGGTATTCTTTTCCTTGCACGTGATTGGGTATTCTTTTCCTTGCACGTGATTGGGTATTCTTTTCCTTGCACGTGATTGGGTATTCTTTTCCTTGCACGTGATTGGGTATTCTTTTCCTTGCACGTGATTGGGTATTCTTTTTCTTGCACGTGATTGGGTATTCTTTTCCTTGCACCTGATTGGGTATTCTTTTCCTTGCACGTGATTGGGCATTCTTTTCCTTGCACGTGATTGGGCATTCTTTTCCTTGCACGTGATTGGGCATTCTTTTCCTTGCACGTGATTGGGTATTCTTTTCCTTGCACATGATTGGGTATTCTTTTCCTTGCACGTGATTGGGTATTCTTTTCCTTGCACGTGATTGGGTATTCTTTTCCTTGCACGTGATTGGGTATTCTTTTTTGCTTCGCCTCATTTACGAAGTTCTGGAGCAACTGCCCTTGCAAAGTACACAGTCTATTTAGCTTTTAGTAAATCTGCCACATACACCAGTGGCGTAACTAGAGCCTTCAGGGCCCGGTGCAAAATAAAATGAAGGGGGCCCCCTGACCCTCGGCTGGGACCATTCCCTCCAAGCCAGGTGGTGGAACTTCAGGGCCCAGCTGCAAGTGCGACTTTTGTGACCCTGGTAGTTCCGCCACTGGTGTCAACAGATTTTTTTTTTTTTTTACAATTTTTAAAAATGTTTTTTTTTTTTTTACACTTTTTAGGAGTCCCATTAGGGGGCTTTGGTGAGATATCAGGGGGTCTAAACAGATGTTTCACCTTTGAGGCAGAGAAAGGAGATTGAGGACACAGCCCTCAATCTCTCTTTCTGTAGCCTCAGCTGCACAGAATGAATGGATAGGATATAGCTCTGTATAGAGGCTCCTATTCATTACCGGCTCCTTCCCCGCTCTCTATCCTGATAGATCCCCCAGCGGAAAAGAGCAGCCGGCGACAGAGGGAAGGGGGGAACCTGGCAGAGCTGAGGGGGATGGGCAGGAAAGAGCTCAGGGAAGCACCAAAAAATGATGGCTACTTGGAGCGGTGGGGGTGGCTGCATATAGAGCAACCAATCTCTCCATGTTCCTCTATATGTGGCTGCCCCTGCCGCTCCTTCTATCCAGGCATATGGGGGGGGTTCACAGAGCATGTGACTGGGTCTCGACTGCGACCCCTGCAACCCTTGTAGGTGCGCCCCTACCTTACTTATAAATATTCGGCATGTTCTATACAATTCAAAATACTTACTTTTCCTCCTGTGTGAAGATCTCGAAGCAGCCATTGGCCAACATTTGGTCCAACATCTTCAGCAAAGGGATAGAGACTCTGCAGAGGAAACAGTAAATGATGTTTATCAAGTTTTGAACAATTTAGAGCTGAAACGGAATCTGCTTCTATGTTGCCTTCGCTGGTTCCTCTCTTCCCTCCTCAGCTTTACCAACATACTAACTACATTTTTAAATAAAATCTTTACATTTCATACCTTATTTTAGACTCACCACTGGGTCCCTGTGCCTCTCTATGCAATGCATACAGATCCTGGCTGGTGGGAGGGGTCGGCAGAGTGCTGTACATAGTTTCCTGAAAACATCACAGCACCACACCTGAGTACTCCACTCAAGCACCCTCAGTGAATGGGACTAACGTTGTTGTTCTTAATCAGCCGCTGCACTTGCAGGGTTCTAATCAGGAAAGTGGCAGGGTCTGCATCCCTTAAGAGACGTCTAACCTAAAAATGATATTTGAGTTGCAGAAGATACCTAAAATCTGACTTGTATCCTAGTGAAGCGTTCTGGGAAAATCAGTGAGCCAATCAAACAATCAGGAAATGCCATATCTGGGGGGAGGAGATCTGTATACCATCTGTGTACACAACGCCTCCAGGCGGCCATATTGCATTTTACAGAAAAACTACAGCGGCTGCAGATTGAAAGGGAAAGGTCATTTTTATTACAATATGACTTGTGTCGCAATTGTATACACTATATTATTTTTTTATTTGCTTTTTCCCCACTAAAGTGAAGTTACCCTTTAAGTGGGAGAGAATGTAGTTTTCAGTCACTCTGCTCTCATAGCCAAGTTGATGGCACGCCGCTCACAGGTGATATCTGAGTACAGCCATCGGAGGAGACGTCTGCTGGAGGGAGAAGATACGGTTTCCAGCAGAGGGGCAATCCTGCTATTGGAAGTGGAGGAAATGTGACACAAAGCGGCACAGAAACTCCACCCCGAGCAAGGAGGGCGCGGCCACCTGCAGGGATCTACAAGTACCAGCTGCATGATGGGAGTTGTAGTTGTTGGCTAAGCGGCCTCCTGCTAGTTTAAGAAGTCATAGAATGAGAACTGAGATATATCAGCTGTGATACCGGTCATTGTGCTGGTTGTCCTTGAAGACCTTCAGCAACGTCTCGACAAAGGAATCCATGGCTTCTGCATCGCTCTGGATGTCCCGGAGGTATTGAAAGAGACTCTGTGCAGAGTATCTCACCTGTACAGGATGAAGGTGGAGAAGGTCAGTACAGGGCTAGGGTACAGGGCAAGGGTACAGGGCTAGGGTACAGGGCTAGGGTACAGGGCAAGGGTACAGGGCAAGGGTACAGGGCTAGGGCACAGGGCTAGGGTACAGGGCTAGGGTACAGGGCTAGGCTACAAGGCTAGGGCACAGGGCAAGGGTACAGGGCTAGAGTACAGGGCAAGGGTACAGGGCTAGGCTACAGGGCTAGGGTACAGGGCTAGAGTACAGGGCAAGGGCACAGGGCTAGGGCACAGGGCTAGGGCACAGGGCTAGGCTACAGGGCTAGGGTACAGGGCTAGGGTACAGGGCTAGGGTACAGGGCTAGAGTACAGGGCTAGAGTACAGGGCTAGAGTACAGGGCTAGAGTACAGGGCTAGAGTACAGGGCTAGGGCACAGGGCTAGGGTACAGGGCTAGAGTACAGGGCTAGAGTACAGGGCTAGAGTACAGGGCTAGGGCACAGGGCTAGGGCACAGGGCTAGGGTACAGGGCTAGGGTACAGGGCTAGAGTACAGGGCTAGAGTACAGGGCTAGAGTACAGGGCTAGGCTGCAGGGCTAGGGTACAGGACTAGGGTACAGGGCTAGGGTACAGGGCTAGAATACAGGGCTAGGGTACAAGGGTACAGGGCTAGGGCACAGGGCAAGGCTGCAGGGCTAGGGCACAGGGCTAGGGTACAGGCCAGGCACATACAGCAATGATTATGTGGGGCCTCCAAATTACAGTCGGTGGGACGCATCCAGATTGCTACACAATTTTACCCGACTTGCAGCAATTCAGCCATGACCCTCCCCAGTCCTCCTGATGGGCACTCCTGGACCTAAGAGGGGCTCTGATGGGAACTCCTGGAAGTAAGGGGGGCTCTGATGGGCACTCCTGGACGTAAGGGGGGCTCTGATGGGCACTCCTAGACGTAAGGGGGAACTGATGGGAACTCCTGGATGTAAGGGGGGCTCTGATGGGCACTCCTGGATGTAAGGGGGGCTCTGATGGGCACTCCTGGATGTAAGGGGGGCTCTGATGGGCACTCCTGGAAGTAAGGGGGGCTCTGATGGGCACTCCTGGAAGTAAGGGGGGCTCTGATGGGCAGGAGTCTTCATGGAGAAGAGGATTTCTCAGCTAAGCACACCTTCCTGTCTGTCTGCCTGAGCTAAGGGAAGATGGATGCTATTAGGTAAATGCTATACAATCTGCCCTTACTCAAGATGACCACGGCTAGAAATGCTAAGGGGGTGTTTTTCAGAGTGATTCCTCAACAAAATAAATCATGGAGACCTGGATGTATGGGGGAGTTTGCTCTGAATACTAAAAATAGATTAAACAATATACTTTGTTTGTGGTGCTCAGATACAGTCAAGTTCTGCTTGGGCAGCAAAATGGTTAGCACCTGCCAGCACTTGGGTCGTCTGTTCAGATCCCAACCCCAGCACTACCTGCCTGGAGTTTGCATGTTCTCCCTGTGCCTGGGTGGGTTTTCTCCAGGTACTCCAGTTTCCTCCCACACTCCAAAGACATGCTGGGAGGTTAATTGGTTCCTGTCTAAATTGGGCCTAGTATGTGTATCCAGAAAGTATTCACAGCGCTTAACTTTTGCCACATTTTTTATGTTACAGCCTTATTCCCAAAATGGATTAAATTCCTTTTTTGCCTCAACATTCTACAAACAATACCCCATAATGACAACCTGAAAGACATTCATTTTGAAATCTTTGCAATTTATTAAAAATAACCCCCCCCCCATGTACATAAGTATTCCCAGCCTTTGCAATGACACTCAGAATTGAGCTCTGGTGCAACCTGTGCCCACTGATCATCCTTGAGATGTTTCCACAACTTGATTGGAGTCCACCTGTGGGGACATTCAGTGGATTGGAGTCCACCTGTGGGGACATTCAGTGGATTGGAGTCCACCTGTGGGACATTCAGTGGATTGGAGTCCACCTGTGGGGACATTCAGTGGATTGGAGTCCACCTGTGGGACATTCAGTGGATTGGAGTCCACCTGTGGGACATTCAGTGGATTGGAGTCCACCTGTGGGACATTCAGTGGATTGGAGTCCACCTGTGGGACATTCAGTGGATTGGAGTCCACCTGTGGGACATTCAGTGGATTGGAGTCCACCTGTGGGACATTCAGTGGATTGGAGTCCACCTGTGGCAAATTCAGTTGATTGGACATGATTAGGAAAGGCTTAAACCTGTCTATAGAAGGTCCCACAGTTACAGTGCATGTCAGAGCACAAACCAAGCCATGAAGTCCAAGGAATTGTCCGTAGACCTCTGAGACAGGATTGTATCAAGGCACAGACCTGGGGAAGGGTACAGAAAAATGTCTGCAGCACTGAAGGTCCCAATGAGCACAGTGCCTCCATCATCCGTAAATGGAAGAAGTTTGGAACCACCAGGAATCTTCCTAGAGGGGGCTGCCTGGCCAAAATGGGTGATCGAGGGAGAAGGGCCTTAGCCAGGGAGGTAACCAAGCACCCGGCGGTCACTCTGAAAGAGCTCCAGCATTGCTCTGTGAAGAGAGGAGAACCTTCCAGGAGAACAACCATCTCTGCAGCACTCCACCAACCAGGCTTGTATGGTAGAGTGGCCAGACGGAAGCCACTCCTCAGCAAAAGGCAAATGGCAGCCACCTGGAGTTTGCCAAAAGGCACCTGAGGGACTCTCAGACCATGAGAAACAAAACCTTCTGGTCTGATGAAACAAAGATTGAACTCTTTGGCCTGAAAGCCAAGCATCATGTCTGGAGGAAACCAGGCACCGCTCACCACCTGGCCAATACAATCCCTACAGTGAAGCATGGTGGTGGCAGCATCATGCTGTGGGGATGTTTTTCAGTGGCAGGAACTGGGAGACTAGTCAGGATTGAAGGCAAAATGAATGTACAGAGACATCCTTGATGAAAACCTGTTCCAGAGTGCTCTGGACCTTAGACTGGGGCACCTGTTCATCTTTCAACAGGACACCAACCCTCAGCACACAGCCCACATAACAAAGGAGTGGCTACGGGCCAACAATGGGAATGTCCTGGAGTGGCCCAGCCAGAGCCCAGACTTGAACACGATTGAACATCTCCAGAGAGATCTGAAAATGGCTGTACACCAACGCTCTCCATCCAACCTGATGGAACTTGAGGGGTACTGATAAGAAGAATGGGAGAAATTGCCCAAAAAAATAGGTGTGCCGAGCTTGTAGCATCATACTCCAAATGACTCGAGGCTGGAATGGGGGCTAAAGGGGCTTCAACAAAGTACTGAGCAAAGGCTGGGAATAGTTATGTACATGGGGGGGAGGGGCTGGGAATACTTGTGTACATGGGGGGGAGGGGCTGGGAATACTTGTGTACATGGGGGGGAGGGGCTGGGAATACTTGTGTACATGGGGGGAGGGGCTGGGAATACTTGTGTACATGGGGGGAGGGGCTGGGAATACTTGTGTACATGGGGGGAGGGGCTGGGAATACTTGTGTACATGGGGGGAGGGGCTGGGAATACTTGTGTACATGGGGGGAGGGGCTGGGAATACTTGTGTACATGAGTTCTTTGTCGTTTTTTATTTTGAATAAGTTGCAAAGATTTCAAAACGAACTTCTTTCAGGTTGTGATTATGGGGAATTGTTTGTAGAATGTTGAGGAAAAAATGAATTGAATCCATTTTGGAATAAGGCTGTAACATAACAAGATGTGGCAAAAGGTAAGCGCTGGGAATACTTTCTGGATGCTCTGTATATACTGGGAATACTTTCTGGATGCTCTGTATATACTGGGAATACTTTCTGGATGCTCTGTATATACTGGGAACACTTTCTAGATGCTCTGTATATACTGGGAACGCTTTCTGGATGCTCTGTATATACTGGGAACACTTTCTGGATGCTCTGTATATACTGGGAACGCTTTCTGGATGCGCTGTATATACTGGGAACACTTTCTGGATGCTCTGTATATACTGGGAATACTTTCTGGATGCTCTGTATATACTGGGAACGCTTTCTGGATGCGCTGTATATACTGGGAACACTTTCTGGATGCTCTGTATATACTGGGAACGCTTTCTGGATGCGCTGTATATACTGGGAACACTTTCTAGATGCTCTGTATATACTGGGAACGCTTTCTGGATGCTCTGTATATACTGGGAACACTTTCTGGATGCTCTGTATATACTGGGAATACTTTCTGGATGCTCTGTATATACTGGGAACGCTTTCTGGATGCTCTGTATATACTGGGAACGCTTTCTGGATGTTCTGTATATACTGGGAATACTTTCTGGATGCTCTGTATATACTGGGAATACTTTCTGGATGCTCTGTATATACTGGGAATGCTTTCTGGATGCTCTGTATATACTGGGAATGCTTTCTGGATGCACTGTATATTCTGGGAACGCTTTCTGGATGCACTGTATATACTGGGAACGCTTTCTGGATGCTCTGTATATACTGGGAATACTTTCTGGATGCTCTGTATATACTGGGAATACTTTCTGGATGCACTGTATATTCTGGGAACGCTTTCTGGATGCTCTGTATATACTGGGAATACTTTCTGGATGCTCTGTATATACTGGGAATACTTTCTGGATGCACTGTATATTCTGGGAACACTTTCTGGATGCACTGTATATACTGGGAATACTTTCTGGATGCACTGTATATACTGGGAATACTTTCTGGATGCACTGTATATACTGGGAATACTTTCTGGATGCACTGTGTATACTGGGAATACATTCTGGATGCTCTGTATATACTGGGAACACTTTCTGGATGCACTGTATATACTGGGAATACTTTCTGGATGCACTGTGTATACTGGGAATACATTCTGGATGCACTGTATATGAATGTGAGTTAGGGACCTTAGACTGTACGCTCCCTGGTGGAATGGACTGATGTGAATGTACAATATATATGTAAAGCTCTGAGTACATTGTCAGCTCTATATATGTACCTGTAATAAGAATAA